GTGTACAAATAGCTTCTTATTCTAAGAACTCTGAGGTTCCCCTTTTTCTAAGTCTGTATGTTCTTACAGAAAGAGGAAGCTATTAGTTGTTTATCACACAAAAGTACATGTCAAACGTCACGTAGACATTTGCTTAGTGATCAATACAAGAATACATTTCATGAAGCTGATCACATTATATAAAACAATTTTCCTTTGACAGTACTTGTTGCTTTATAAACAGTCAAAGCAAACGGGGGCATTTTTGAGCCCAGAGGACGACAGGTGTGATTATTTGCTGCCAGTAAAAAACTTGTAGTTTAAAAACAGTTTCCTACATTAACTTTGACATAAACCCGTCTGTGATCATCTGTTAAAGCGACCGACTCTGGTTGTGAAGCGATCCTCACGATAACTGATGATTTAATTTATTTTTTACCCAAAAACAAAGAAACATTTTGTATAAATGAGGATTTATCAGACATACATTTGAAATGGAATAAAAAAATAGTGTCAAAACAGTGCCCAAAATGTAACATGTAGGGTACATTTTGTGGTCATGTGTTGGTCTTAAGTAAAACTAAGCTGTAACACTGAATTGATTGGCAATTTATACTTTTAAAAACAGTCAAATGAAGTGGGGTCCCGTGGTATCAGGAGGACATTATGAGGGTTCGCCACAGAGGTTTGTCACAGTGACGATGCTGTTCGTCTCTTTCTGTCGTCAACAACACTGATATTTAACAAAAGATCACGGCAACAGAAAAGGGCATCGAGCAATGTTTCATCAGACAAAACAACTGAAATTAAAAATGTGCTCCTTTGTGCTTAAACAAAAACTGTCTAAACAAAAGTGTAGACGGCGACTACAAAAACCCCCGACTGGTGCAATCCAAACGACAGCGAGTCTCAAACTCCCGCCGCCACCATGTTTTTCCCGATGTTGCAGTAAATAAACACGCATGCTGAGTGCAGTGTGTCAGGTTGGGAGGGGGGAATTAGTGATGCATTTGCAGTGTGTGGGAGAAAAAAAACTCAGTGAATTACATGCAGACAGCTTAATATTGCCATGGCGACGTATACTCAGTGGTTACGATAAAGCCATTTATGCGTCGCACGTGGAAAAACTCGCGATACCTCGCGTGTATTCGATAAACATGGCCCGCCCTAGTTTGAATCTGTTTCATTTAAGGTAAAGCAGGCGTGCTGCAGCCTTTGAGGACGAGGCCTCTCTGTGTGAGGAGCCCAGTCACTGATAACACAGCTGATTTCTCAGCAGAGTGCGTGCACGCTCACGATGTGGGACCTTTCTGGGTTTTCTGGGTGTATTCTGTGTAATTTTAAAAATATAATTAATTAAAAATATGATAATATTGAACAATCGTTTTATACTGTTTTATCTGTTTCTGTCTGCAGAGGACAAACACAACTTAATACACAAAACGTTGTGTGGATGTTTTTGACAGGTATGGTGTATAATGTGAGCGCCTACATGGACTACCACCCTGGTGGAGAAGAGGAGCTGATGAAGGCAGCAGGAGTAGATGGAACTGAACTCTTTGACCAGGTATGGAAGCAAAAAGTAAATGCAGTGTATTGTATAGTCTGGAATGCATCTGCAGATTTATGATAAGTGGTAAACGTTTAATTGGTTTACCAGTGTGCACACGAAGCGCCTGTAGGCTCATTTTCCTATCAAGCATCACTGGAATCAATAAATCAGTTACAGAGTCGACTTCACATGTCCGCTCTTTATTCTAGGCAGGCTTTGTTTGTTTAGTCATGCCGATGTCTTTAGCTTCGATTTTAGCGTCAGACTGTGACATAGTTCTTTATCAGTCTCACAGTCAATTAAAACGACTCTCCTGTTGGCTTCATGCGTGAAAGTGGGGCCTCGCTAACGGGCAAAGCTGAGCAGAGGTGAAAATAAGTCTGTAAGACTGCAGCAGGACTTTTGTTTGCAGTATGATATAGATTTGTAAGCTCAAAGCTTCAATTCAGCTTTATTTACACAGCGCCAAATCACAACAACAGTTGCCTCAAGGGGCTTTATATTGTAAAGTAGACAATACATTGATAAATACAGAGAAAACCCAACCATCATATGACCCCCTGTGAGCAGCACTTTGGTGACAGTGGGAAGGAAAAACTCCCTTTTAACAGGAAGAAACCTCCGGCAGAACCAGGCTCAGGGAGGGGCGGGGCCATCTGCTGTGATTGGTTGGGGTGAGACTGACTTGGATGAGTGTATATGTGTGTTTGTGAGCAGGTCCATCGCTGGGTCAACTATGAGTCTATGCTGAAAGAGTGCCTGGTGGGCAGGATGAGCACCAAGGCCGCCACAGCTGTTAGAGGTACACAGAGATTTACATCAATCTACACTCTCTGCAGAAAAACACAGCCTTTAACTAAGTCTATGAAGCTGGGGGTCGGGGGGCTTCTCACAAGTATACATGTAAAAACTGCTGTGACGCTACATCCTGGTGCTGCCATAGTTGTGTTTAAAAAATAAACACGTGTGCAGCTGTGATCAGTTTATTGGCACATCTGTAATAAATACACATAAATATAATCGAGTCATGCTGTGAATGTTCATGTTTAGTATGATGTGTTGTTGTTATTCCAACTGAAAGTTTTTGCTGCACCAAACATGGTTTCGTCTGTTGCCATAGCAATCCTCCCTCCCCCACCTGTGACTGGCCTCGCCTCACCGACTTCAGTGGCTCCTCTTCCAGACAAAGACTCTCGCCCTCGGTATGAAGGACGGTAAACAGCTAAAGAACACATCTGATAAGGAAGCTCTCGAGTGACAAAATCCTCTTCTTCCTGTTGCTGCAGGTACGATTGGTTCCAGACTGATGGGACTGTTCATCTGGTTGTTTATACCAGAAGAAAGGTAATCGCTCCACCTGTGATGTGCTGTAAGATGGAGCTCTTCACATGCCCCCCTCTACACTGTGTGCATCCAGGCCCTGACTGTTATTGAGCTCCACTTGTGTCCTGTGTTGCTTTCATTCCTCTAACCAGTACAACCAGTACCAGCTGTGCACACAGTAACTGTACCATTTGTATGTGTCAGATACCCAGCTCAGGCTGTACCACTGTCGATCTAAAGGCAGGTGTTCTTCGACTGGAGGTGCTGCTGGGGAAAATGTCCTACGTGATTCATTTGCGTGAGTATTGCTGTGTTGCATCGATCCTACGCAGCTCACTACGCTGTGTCGTTGCAGCAGTCTTTCACTCTACATAGTGAAAGCCCAACTCTTAGCTGTCCAATCTGGCAAACACAGAAACATTTTCATTAACTGTTGTTATCATCTGCCTGTCAGTCATAGCAGACTTGTGTAAGGAGGTAAGGTTGTGTAAGGTGTGGCACTAAGCTAAGAGGCCTTAAAGAGCTGCTGGGCTGGAAGTGTGATACACTACTTTAAACCTCAGCTGTAAAAGGCTCCTGGGGTCATCAACGTGGCCCTGCTGCGAGGCCGGCAGCATAGGTGCATCTATGAAAAGCAAACTACAATAACTCACATGAGGCAAACACTGAGCTTCACTGATGAGAGCGGGAGCTTCATGCAGCACGCCTCATTCACCCGTACAAGCACCTTTTATCTGCGCTTAAGTTCTTTCTGTCTAACATTGATACGCATTCGTACTCTGATGGGCACGTCGGTAGATCAGCTGATGACCCGCTCTACCTCCTGAGCTATCGCCACCCCAAGAACAGCAGAACAGCTGTCAAGCATGGTGGTGGTAGCATCGTGCTGTGGGGCTGCTTTGCTGCCAGTGGTCCTGGTGCAGAAGAAGGACGACCTCTGAACTCTTCAGCTAGACAGTTAAAACAGCACAGGACAGAGATCCCAGACCGGACAGCTGTTGTTCTGCATAAAGCAGGTTAACATTAACCTTCCCAAAGCCCCGAGCTGAACTGTATTGAAATATGTGTAAAACTGACCAATTTAAACGAACTGTTCAAGGTTCAACATACCGAGAGACATTTAGTCAAGTATTAGTTGGGATGTGTGTACAGTATTTAAGCCTGTATGTATCTGTTTGACTTTGATGAGAGAAAATACAAAATGGATTTAGATTTGTGTGCTCAATTCTTGTTTTGTTTTTTCACTCTGGGAAAAGAGCCGTTCCAAGAAATCATTAAAAGCCCAAAATGAGCCTGAGTTTCGTGTAAACGTTTGACCACAGCTACACAAGAGCTTTGTCCCAAGCATTCCTCAGTTGTGGAAGTCCTACAGAGATATTTGTTAGCTCCCACATGTGTTGCTGCTGACTCTCTGTTCTCTTCACCCCCCAAGTCACAGCAGATGTTTCTCTTTCTGCTGTCATTGAGCATTTCACCATAGACGATGATCTGAAAGCTGGGGTTGTAGTCTTGGTCTTTGCTTAGCTTTATAAAGGTGTGAATCGGTGGTATCCAGATTTAGCTAAAATCAGATTATGGTTTGATTTGGTGCCAGAACTACTTGAATGTCTAATGAGACTTTTAGGTGCTGTTACTTGTGGAAGCCCCAGTTTTTCTCCTGTGGAGATTGTTCCTCCAGCTTTTAGCACAGCTTCTGTCAACACAGCCCTAATGTGAGTTTCAAGCTTATGAATAAATGCTTTTGTTTGTAAAATCGACTGTCGTGCTTTTGCAGGTCTCTCTGATGAAGTTGAGGAAAATGTTGCAGGTGAACAACATCTTTGAAAACAGATTCTGTAAAATGAACATTCACTGTCTTGCTCTTGTCCTTAAGTTGGTAAGTTGTTATCATCTACAGTTCACACTGCTTTCTCCGTGGGAAAGATCCAGGTTAGCATACGCAAAGGTGCTCACGGAAAATGGGCGAGCCTCGGTCAACCTCTGGAGTCCCATAATACGTTTGTACGCCAAAAGGACCGAGGTGGGTTCCAACAGCATCACAGATGTGCCTGTGCAGCCCGTTCACATCGCTCCACTCGCTTCCTGCATGCTGTGTGCTCAGACAAAAAGAAAGATGCATAGGAGACCACGTTGCTGTTCCCTGTTTTACAGCTCTCTTCTATCGGGATTGTGTGTTGGTGTCTAAGACTGAGGTGAACCACAACACTTACCTGTTCAGACTGCAGCTCCCAGCTGGGACTGTCATGCATGTGCCAGTCGGGAAACACGTCTGTCTGAAAGCGCTCGTCCAAGGTGAGCAGTCGCACAGGCAGCTGGTGAAACGTGTATAAGCTGCAGTTTAGAGGAAGCTTAAAACACCTATGGAAGCAGGTGTGGTGAGCTGCTGAAGATAGAGCAGTGTTAGAAAGTTTATATTGTGTGGGGATGTTTCATTATCATCTACAACCATGAAGTACACAGTTCACACAGTGGTACAGAGTATTCACATCCTTGTTGTTGGTGTCTTAAACCAGGTGCATTCAGTTTGCAGGCCTCCTGTCCAGAATAATGTGCTGCCCTCTTTCATCACTGGGACAAACTGGTCCCCAGTGCTGCTGCCTGTGTGCGTTTGCTAACCTCCAAATAAAATCAGCAGTCTCTGATTATTGTGCTCGTTTCATTTTGATGTGGAGAGGACGGAAACTGAAAATCAGAAAAACACATTACATAAAAGTTGTAAAGTGATTTTCAGTGAGTAAAATAAGTATTTGAACCACATGGAAAACATGACCTTGCACTTGGTGCAGAGCCTCTTGTTGGCAACAGTAGATGGTCAGCAGGTTTGCACACATCTCAGGGTTTGTGCTCTTCCACTCCCGAGTCTGCAGTCCTGATGTCCTGTCACAGCTCTCTGGTTGTTACTTCAGGAGTATCTGACTCATCGGTTCATTATGATGTAGCGCACAGCCTTTGTGTGGCTGGGTTGTAGGGGATCGCTACTTATTTTACTCAGTGACCTGCAAATGTGTATAATTCAATTCATATGTGATTTCTAACTTTTATGTAATGATTTTTTACATCACTGCGCATTTTTGTGACAACTGTTTCCACCAGTGTCATTCTAAGCCTTACTATAGTTAAAAATGAGCACAGCTAGATAAGTGATGACAGGTCAGTGAGTAAAATGCTGATATTAGTTTGTCACAGACAGAAACAGCTCTGACCTTGGGCTGTTTCTGGGAGTGTGACATCACCGAGACGGGCACAGCTGTAAATCTTACTGTTTGTTATCTACATGCAGACGTGGAGGTAGTGAGGCCATACACTCCAGTGGAGCACATATTTCCAGCAGCTTCTAAGAACGGGTCACAGGAATCAGACCTCTACCTCATGATCAAAGTCTACCCTGGTGGAGCGTTCACCCCACACCTCAGCAGCCTGAGTGTCGGTGAGTCACATTCAGGGAGCAGCTCCCAGGGTGGGAACATGGATGAGGTCCAGTGACTTCTCTCTCTTAACCTGTAACAAACAAAAGTACAATGAAAAAACCAATGTGTGCTTTTCCACGTGCGGCACAATAACGCGACCAACTCGCCATCGAACAGTAAATAATGTTCTGAATTTTGATTTGATGAAGGTGTTTAATCTGTGGAAACTGTTGTAATAATGACGCGTTTACTCTTCTAGGTGACCGTGTGGCCGTAAGTGGTCCAGAAGGCACCTTCAGTCTCCGCCCTCTTCGTGATGTTACAAACCTCTACTTAATAGCTGCAGGCACAGGCTTCACGCCCATGGCTCGTCTCATCCGTGCGGCCCTCGAAGACATCGAAAACATCGGGTAGGAGCAAACTTTCAGAAGCAGCGCTCATAAGTGACACCTTTGTATTCAGTGCTGATCAGTAAGTGCATTCATTTATATAAATCAATGTACTTGGAACAACCATCTGGTTGTTGGTCGCCTCCCCGAACTGTATCAGGAGTCTCCAGGGCATGAGAAACAAACAAACAACAAGAGAAGCAAACACACAACAAGAGAAGCAAACAAACAACAAGAGAAGCAAACAAACAACAAGAGAAGCAAACACACAACAAGAGGAGCAAACACACAACAAGAG